GTCATAGCAGCAATAGTCTGGCGACAACAACTTTAATAATCGCAACTATAGAATAAAATACTACTGATGACGATGTTAGTCGCCATATAATGGTGGTGATGATGTAGTAGTAGCGATAGTAGCCATGTGATATATGAAAATGGGGAGGTGCCAACAATAGGCATGTTGACGCACAGAAGTTTTCCCTAGAATAGCTTCGGGGCTCAGCAGGCTGACCCGAATGCACAGCAGATTGTGCAACCGTTGGAGCCAGAAATCCGCGCACTGCGCTCCCGAACTCTGATTGAGCCCGAGTGTGAGAGCACGAAGTAGAGAAAGCCGCACTGAGGAGTCCACTCCATGGGCCGGGCCATCGGATCACCTGGAGCACGTGCAGAGCGGCATGGGCCGAAATGAGGTGCAGCTGGCTGCCTACAGCAACTGGTTCATTGGGGTCGGAAGCCTGTGTCCAGGTATGGGTAATTTGGTGTTGTTGTCCTTGCAGAACTCGCGCCGGCCACATGCTGTCACATGCTTGAAGGTGATCTGGGTGGACACAGAGAGCAACTTCATGGAGGAGCCTTGGGGCAGGGGGGGTTCTCCTGTACCTTCCTCTGCCCTCCCTGAGCAGGATGTGTCACAAGATGCCAGCGAAGAGGCCCGATGGCTTAGTTGCAGGAGATCTCGACTGCCAAGGGCGAAATCCCGAGTCCCAAAACGTGGACTGTCGGAGAGCCTCCGGAGGGTTCCGAGAAGCCGCTACGTTCCTATTCTTCTTCATCCTTATGAGCTGCCGATCCCAGAGCTGTCTTTCAAAGCCCAATCCGAGCCAGCAGGTGGCTGCGGTGGTGGCCCAGACTCCAGTAGCCCAGCTGGCACAGCAGCTGGCCCGGCAGGCCGACTTTGATGTTCCGCCGGACAAAATTAAATGGTAAGTGGAGTGACCATGAAGACCTGTAGGTACATTTCAGAGCATTTGAGGTCAAGACCAGTAGGGGCCTGAAAGTCGGCTTCCGTGAGGCCGGCGTGGACTTCCGAAGTGCCCCTCGCCGAAAAACGTCAGTGTCGCTGCAAGATTTTGGATGTATCTTCCCGCGAAGACGTCGGCTGCAGATTCGTTCCGCTTTTGTGGAATTGAGACAGGGGAAAGCAGGTGCAGGCAATGTTGTCGGAGGGATCCCTGTACAGAGAACCAAGAGCTTCTACAGCAAACGCATGAACTACATACGATGCCAGCAATCTGTAACACGTACAATGCCATACAATGCCGTTTGTGCGAGTGCTTCTGTGTCTGCGTTCACAGGTAGACTCGTTACGCATCGCCCGGCTTTCCGTCCTCCTCAAGAAGCACATGCGCCCGATCAGCGGGATCCTTACTTCTCAACCCTCCCAAGGCTTTCCACCTCAGTTGCCGGAGGGGATAGGCAGGGGGCACTTGGGTCAAGTTGTGCATCTTTGGGCATTCCAAATGGCCTGTGCGAGCATGATCGTTCGTCGCGAACCTTTTCTGTCAGGTCTACCGGTCTACCCATGACTTGGGACAGAAACCTTGCAAGTCAAGTTTAGCTAGTCGTCCGTTGTGGGTGCATCGCCAGCACGTATACCGAAGTGCGTCGGAGTCGATTAAGGTTATACTATACAATACCCTTGAGGGTGGGAGATTGGGATCGCCTGCAGGAAGCTGGTAACAAAGAATATTTCCAGAATGAGCACCATTTCTCTCATCTCAGTTTCAAAATGTTCAGCCAGCAGTTAGGAGACAGTTAGCCTCATCCGCCATGGCTTTCCTGCTTCCTTGGGCCGTGGCCTTCCTGGCGTTCCGATGTGCGGACGCCGGGGCCGCAGGGGGATTGCGGCCGTCGGGCCGCCTGCTGCGCCACGCGGCGCCGCCCCAGATCCAGGTGAGTGGAAGCCCCGAGTCGAAGCGGGCGTACTTCCGACAGCTCTTCAGCAAGAGCTGGGAGGACTTCCTCACAGAGCTGGAGGAGCCTGAGCGGGGTGGCTCTTCCGTGGCAGTCCTTTGCAAGCCGTCTCCAGGGTCCGTGGGAGCAACCCTGCGGGTATGTGCCCTTCTTGGAGTGCCCTTCTTGCTGGTGCTTGGTGGCTTGGGCTCTGCTGCGCGGAACAAAGAGATCCGCATCTCACAGCTGCAGCGAAGGCCGGACTGGGGTGTCGCCCTGCTCACACCGCCCGAAGAGCTGAGTCTGTCGGAAGCCTTAGGCGAGCTCAAGGTTTTGGGCTTCCACACCTTGGGCCTCAGCTGTTCGGAAGAGGCAGCCGAGCTTTGGCAAGCAGACCTCAGACATGACCGCATGGCCTTCATCTTCGGAGAGGACGGGCTGGATCCGATTGCAACCAAAGAAGTTCACGCCATAGCCCGCATACCGATCGAAGAGGGGCGCGGCTGCCGACTCTCGGTGCCGCACTCTGCTTCCATGGTCTTCTACGAGCGCCAGCGACAGCGCGAATGCAGTTGCCAGGAGCTGCAAGACATCAAAAAAAGCTCAGAATCACGTGGAAGCGTGCCGGGCGTGCCCGGGTCGCGGGTTGCAGCAAGAATTCCCATGCGTGTTATCCAAAGGTTCGAAAGTTCAAGCTCTTCCACAGGATTCAGCATCAAGCTTGAGAGCAGTATGAATGAATTAACGAATTGGTGGTATGGCATGGTATGGTATGGCAAGCCATGGGAAGCCATTCTATGTTGTGCTATGCTCATTGTTCTTGTCATTTGAGTGTTGCTATCCTGTCTTGTGTCAGAACAACCGTAGTATAAGGACTAGTATCCTCTATGATTTCGTCTTGTCGTATACTACACTGCACGATACAGTACTAAGGTTACTATACTATACCACATCATAACTCATAATGCAATGTTATATCATATCATCTAACTTCATCTTATGTTTTCCAGGTGTGACAGGAGAAGCTGGTTCCGCCCCTAAGCAGTTCTCCGGTGCAGAAACAGGGTCTCCTGATCCTTTCAAGAAATGTCAGGCATGTCGTCATTGTAAGTAATTGCAAAGCTATGAGCTCACACGTAGCTTACACTGCCGGAGACCGTCGAGCCACAAGGAGTGCGAAAGACCACGGACAGTGGACAAAGCCTTCAGCATCGGTTTCCGGCCAGAAGAACTCTTAACCCAATGAGTAGGACTGAGTAGGAGGCAAAAAATCAGCTACGAGGAAAGAGTACACACCCCCGTCACAGCAAAGCGATCCCTGAGACATATTCGAGCGGAAACTTGGGGGGGCTTGAGGCGAGGCGCTTGAGTTCAACGAGCTGCGCGAGGTAGCATGGGGAGGGCTTTGCAGGTGTCCTTTGTTTTGATCCAGGTTCCAGACACGGAATGTGCCCCGACCACATGATTTGGTGTGCCAACTTGGAGTTCTGCAGGATAGGTGACTGACAGAGTGAGCAGAGACTTGATAATCAACATGCTACATTTCCCAGTGTTCCATCATCGCGTCTATGAATATGCCTGAGGCGTGTGCAGATGAGCCTGGATTCTTGCAGCTGGTGGAGGAGCGCTTGGAGGCTTGAGTTTGAGGGTTCCAGGGGAAGGCTTACCTTAACCCTGAAGGACCTACCTTTTTCAGGACTTATATAGGTAGGTTATTCAGGGTTAAGGTGCAGCTTACGGATTGAACTGCAGAAGGGTTTCGCCAAACTTAAGTTCTGGGTATTGGGGAGCTCGGGTTCCTTGGAATCCAGGCTCCCGTTCCACACTTCAGAGCGACGTCAAGCTAGGCAGCTAGGCAAACGAAGTAAACAAGGTTCCATGTCATTTCGGCTTTCCACTTTGATGCGAAATCGGTGTATCAAGCCTGGCTTCGGGCACAGCTATGTGTGGAGCTGTCGTTCGGGTTGCAAACTACCCGAAGTTTCAGGCTCTCGTTTCTCGGGCTCTCCATGAGCTTGGGTTTGCACTTCATGTGGTTGGACGGTACAGGTTATCGCACAACACCCGTGCATGCCATGCTGTGAAGGTGATGGAGACTGCCGACCCATGGCTGCAATCGGAATTCACCGGCGTGCTTGAGCCTGAATTCCGACGGTTGCCTTTGCGCGGCTCTCTTCCTACCTTCTCGTCTAGACTAAAGAACTTGGAAGAACGGCGCGGGACTCTCAGGGCTTTGAGGATTATGCACCTCACGTTCATGTGGCATCTTGTGGCATGCTTGTCAGACGAAAAAGAAGATTGGATCTACATGCGAATGAGTTCGCAACATCCTTTGCCGGTTGACTCATTGGCCGCTAAGTGCTAGGCAGGGGCGCAAACGTGTTTGTAATCCGCTTGTCCTGACCATGTCCACACGAATGAGTCCAATCGCACGCAGTTCTCGGGACGTAATGTCGCAACTGGGCTCGACCATGCTCATGTAAAAGCTTCCAGCCGAAGCCGAGCAGAAGCTTTTTGCATCATTTGCCCTGGGACTCCAGACCTGCAACTCCGAGCCAAAGAGCAGGTTCGCCTAGAGGCCTAGAAGCCTCCAAGCCCTGAGCATTAGGAAGCAGCAGCTGCTTCGAAGTCCGGCGGCGGCTTTCATCGCATGCTGCAGCGCTGGTTTCACAGTGGGGCCAGGAGAGTGGGTGGGCTTGCCCCCGAACAATCTCATCCGACTCGGATTCGTGCTGTCGTTGCTCGGAGGAGGGTAGCTGTTGCAACAAGTGCTTCCAGAATAACATTGAGCGAACTTGTCATGGTCCTCCCTGGAATTTGTTGCTGTTGCTGGTTTGGTAGCCATCTTGCTCGGTGTCGTTCAGGATTCACCGGGAGGGTGCCACCAATGCGCCGTGGGACTGTCAAGTCGATGTCCCTGCCTCAGACTAAGAACTTTCGGTTGGTGTTCTAGGTGTCTGAGCTGTCTCCTGAATTCGCCACGCTGTGTTATACGGCCTCCCGGTAGTCTGCACAAAAAGCTTCCTTGGATACAGACCTTTGAAACGACCTGCGCTGCACTCCTTTTAACTGCCAGAGGACGCTCAGTCATGTCAGGTGCTTCTTCGCTGGGATGGCCCCATGCTGAACCTGAGTACTCTTCATGATGCAGTGCAGACTGTGCAGCGCCAGCACCCCATGCTGTGCCCTGGTGGAATTGTGGCTTGCATTTTGCAAAAGACTGCTCGGCCCTGCAACGTAAAGTACTTCAAGAGGAACCCCTGCTTGCCTTAGCGTCACGGGCGTCATGGTGCGCGTGTACTGCCTCCAGGTTTCACGTTACGAGTACAGTGATGGCTGGACACCTGCCATCTCAGATGTCCTGAAATGCTCTTGCCCGTTGGTTTCTTTTCGGCTCGTCCTCAGGCGAGCGAGACCGCCTCTCGATGCTCCTTGCCTGCGATCTAGTCGAAATTTCTTTGAAGGAGCATGGCTCACCAGACGTCCGTTTCCGACCAAGTGCCTTTTTCGCGGGTGGACACCAAGTTCAAGGGCCTATCAAAGGGATCCCCATAGCCACAGCTATGTAGGCTACTCGAGAAGTGTAACAGCACTGCACTGAGCAGCTATGCCAAGAACCTCAAGATCTGAGTGGGGAAGACCTAAGTCGTTTCTAAGTAGCTCCACCGTTTAGGGTGACAGCTCGAACCGATTGAACCATGGTTTCCAATGATTGTCCGAGCGAAAACATCTTGCACCCACAAAATCCCACCCTGGAAACGGGAGATGCTGTACTGTCTCAATTTGTGTGCTGTTCCAAAGAGAGCCCTACGTAAACCTTCATCCTTGAGCCCACAGAAGTCTTGCTGATACTCAATCTCAGGACAGCACCGACTTGAAGCTGGGCTGCCGAGACAGCGGGTTCTCTACCACAGCTTCTTCGGTCTGAACCTATGGCAGGGCTTAGGGCTTGGGCGTCTGCCTAGAAGATTACAGCTGCAGCACGAGCCATGTCAAGTTTTGTCGGTCTGGGGCGGTTCTGGGGTTCACAGACAGTCAAAAAGTCAGATGTGTTTCTTGTTTCGGTTCGTGGATCTCTCACAGAAAGTCATCCGGTAGTTAAAGCCCGGTCTGAAGTCTAAGGTCCTCAACCGAAACTCATAAATCTGAAGCTGGAGATTCGCAGACCAACTCGAACGGCGGACATGCTCGCGGTCAGGTTGCTGCTACATGGTCCTTGCTTTGCGAAGAGGTTGCTGTGCCACGTCGGCTGCGCGAGCTGGTGGCTCGCCGCTCTGGTTGTGGTTTGTTTTGGATTTAGGGATTCCCGCTATGGGCTTCGAGGGGATGTTCAGGGGAGAGATCTGCATCGGCCACCTCTTCGGACTACGGAGGGCCTGGCTGACAGGTGGCAAGCAAAGGGATGCTGGTCGGTGTGGGCAGGCTTGTGTTGAAAAACGATGGGCCACGCGAGAAAGCCTGTACATGTTCTTCAGCTCTGATATTGTAATGAGTGTCGAAGCAGCATCCTAAGCAGCACCTCCGACCTCCGACTCCCATGACCTCGAACTTAAGTCCTACAGACACAGCTTTCGATGGAAATTGGCAGGCATCGCTTAATCACCAGCCGAAAGCATTTAGCCAGTCGACTCGCAGACTTGCAACAGAGTGCGGCCAGCTGATGGCCAAGGCGTACACCGATTGGTCTTTTCTCCTCTGTCGGTGGCCTGCACGGTCGTCCCATCTTTCCCTCTGTCTTGACCTGCATAATTTGTCCATCCGTCTGTCTTCGTCACTCGCTCAAACTCTCGTGTCTCTCTGTGCTCGCCCGAAGGTTGCAAAGGCCATGTTCTTTTGCTGGCCCCGCACCGCCATACTCGAGGCCAGCACGAGTCTGTGTGGTTTGCATGGCCATCCTGACAACAACTGCCTGAGCTTTGCATGACAGCATGCCTACAGTAGCAGGTGTATCCGCGGTTTCAACTCAGGCAGTTCAGCGAACTGTCGAGCCTGTTTTGCTGAGTGCTCTCCGGTTTTGGAGTGTCGATTTCCCCGATGATTGTCTGTGAGCTACAGACAGAGCAACCCGAAACTCCAAACCCTGACAATCACTCAGCTGACGAGCCTTGATCACGAAGTTTGCAGCAGAATGTGCATATGAGGATGTCTCATGAGCCCTTGTTTATGGTACTTCTCTTCTGACTGACACACCGACCCTTGGCCCTGTTTTGATGTGGGCCCCTGCCCCAGTGTGGCATAATTAGGATAATGTAGCGCGTCTTCCTGCCAGAACACGCAACATCTGCACCCATCATGTCGTGTAGGCGCGGCATGTTGTGCCGTCATTTCCAACTCTTCTGATTAACGTAAGAAGCACTCACCCGGTCCGCAAAGCTATGAGAGCCAAAACAATACAACAACACGACTGCACCTTGTACCTTTTCCGCGCCCAAGACCGTAAAAAAAACAAAAAAAGTTTCTAAGTAATTGCATTCCACGCATGTGCACGTCCACCAGGACGGTGCCGCTGTCAACATCCCCGTGCTGTCCCAGCCGTCTGGCTTTTGACAATACCGACGGGGATTTGGGAAAATGACGATGCTGTTGCGATAATGGCAAGTACAAGTTCTCTCGTGGTCTAAGTGATTAAAAGTTTCATCCGCCAGGCCCGAGTTGCGAGAGCGTAAAGAATCACAACCCTCTCCAAGCGAAGCTAGACATGCAAAACATAAAAACCAGGGGAACTCGAGGGGAATAAAGTTGGACGTGTGCGCGAACACAGGAAAAACGCACAATAGCTCAATAAACCGATGTGCCATGCCGAACTGCCCTCAAGCTCAGGAAGGCAGGCTCTTGCGGATTTAGCTGTTGGCCCTGTCCAGCAATGGGCTTCGAGTAGATGTGTAGTCATCGAGAGTGTTTGTTTGCATCAGTTGCCACCCTGTTGTGTCTATGCACCGTCGCGAATGGGCGTTTCCACTTTCCCGGCAATGCTGGTGCGCTGGACTTGGACACATGATCGCTGAGGAGCTCGGAGAGGGGCGGCGAGTGCAATGCTGATGAAGTTTACCGAGCCTCGCTCAAACACCGGTGCGACCTTTCTGTGTGGATCTGGCAGGCTCGCAGCTTCCGTTTGCAACAGCGTTGTTGATGTCGGACTGCAACCGAGGTGTGATGAACGACTCCGGTTGGGCGTGGTGGGATTCCACATCAGCTCTCAATATGTGCCACGCTTACTGCACCGGACACGGGCTTATCTCAGCTTTCCAACCCGGTCCCCATGTTGGTCATAGCCGGCACCTGTGCCCACGCTAAGCAACGTCTTAGCACTTGGGGTATCTCAACGTCCTCCTTTCCTCCTCCTTTGCACCCCTTTCCCTTCCAATTCAAAAGTCAGCGCCGCCACCGCCATCTTCAGCCACAGCGACTCCCCATCATCATCATCATTATTATTATCATCATTATCACCACACATCGGCATCATCATTGCATCATGTAGCACTAACTTTAGCACCAGCAGTGGCAGCAGTAACGCCACCGCCACAACAGCACACGCAACCAGCCCTCACCGCCAGCACCACTGCCACGCTGCCATTCGCACCCCACGCTCCCACACCCAAAACCACCACCCCCACCTCCACAACCTGAGTGAGTGAGTGGATGGCCTGGGGTGCACTCCGGCCGAACGGAAACGTTGACTCCCGCCATCTCTTGCCCCCCCCGGTTTCGGCATCGGGGAGATCGGCAAGAGTTCAACGCTCCGAGACCCTCAATCCAAGCAGGGAGAAGTGCCACCCGAACCCTCCATGGGCCCGCCCCCCCAAGCTGCACGGTTGCGCACTTGGCAAGACAGCCCGCTTCGCAGGAACAAAAGCTCTTCCCCATGTGATCCCTCCCTCACACGTGTCACACGGGTACTAAGCTGGGGGCACTGGCTCGGAGAAAGGGCTTGGGGTGCGGGGCGGCCGAACCAAACACGCACACACGCAGCGGTAGCAAGACTGAGCGTAAAGCACGCTCAGCTGATCCTCTCCTGGCTCCAACAGTATTCCCCTGGCGTGCGGGGCAGTGCCTGTATCTGAAGGCACCACCCCCGACCAGAAGGGGCATCCACAACCTGATTTTATCATCAATCGTTACTATCCTCGTTGCCATCAGATCAGCCATCACCATCATCACCTTCATGATCGGCATCAACGACGTTACTATCGTCATGAACATCCTGGTCGTCATCAGTTTCTGCTTCATGACCGGTATCGAGGTCTTCCTCGCCACCATCATTACCATCCCTTCATTCACTGTAGCTCTAGTATCATTTGCAGTGCCTGACGGAAATAAGTGTCATTCACACCAGTGCCATGCTGGATTCAGCTTGAGCTTTGTTTCAGCTTAAGCGCAACATGTCGTAGTCGGCCTGTTGGAAGGGTCGGCGATTATGGTCTGCGATAGAAGCCGCTTCGGCGTCTGGGTGCCAGGTTTGGGAGCCTGAATCGTCGGCACACTCTCACCATTGGTTGCTCTGCGTGCTCTGATTCGAGGTGCCTGGTCAATATGCAGAGCAATGAGCGGGTCGTGCAGTTCTTGTACTGCAGCATCACGCACAAGCCACCTGCAATGTTTTGGCATAGCCTTGTGGCAGGTTCACTGGGTCTCCCTTCGCTTGTGCTTGTGATGTTGAGCATCGCTGGAAGATCCTCGGCAACGGGCCTTGCAGGTACGGGGACGGCGGGGCTATTGCCGCCTTCGTGCATTCGCTGCAAGAGGCTTACCAAGCTTTGGCCCGTGGGGAGGCACCTTCTCGCCGGAGTCTTAGACTTGCTTGCAATACTTAAGTTCTCACACACGAGGCCTTAAAAATCCCAGTCATCAGTCATCAGGTGTTGCTTGAGCTTGCGGGAGGCATATGTTCTAATCAATCATCACCTTCGAGGTTCCGAGCATCCAATCCTGGCGGTGCAGCAGCAGCGGCTGCGGCGCTACTTGCAGCTCGGGCATTTGATGTGAAATTGGGGAGTGCTCGGTCGAGGGCTTAGAAAGGTTCAAGGGTTGCAAGCTCAAGAGCTCTGCCGTCACAGGCCTGCATTCACGAGGCGTTGATTATAATTCAACAAAGATGCAGAAACCCACAGAAGCACCCACACATATGTGTTGTTCCTACTTGACTGTCTTACCGAAACTTCGATGCTCGATCACCGAAAGCTCTTCTAGCGCCATAAATCCCTATAATATGAACCTCAAGTATCCTGAAGCAGTAGGATGCCTCCTTGAAGGTTTCAGAGCCCCTCTGGAGCCTTGGGATCTGGACCTTTGGCCCGGCAGGAGTGGTGCTGCCGGACAAGAGGGTGCGGTGGACATGCAGCTTGGCAAAAAAGGGATTCACAAAAGTGAGAGAGGTGGAGTTCAAAGGTGCCAGAAGTGGAGATGTGGATGAGACATGTGACAGCCCGGTGTAGAAGTCTAGGGCGTTTTGGGCGTTTTAATGTCGGCGCCGTATCAAAGCCCACACATCGGGTGCGCTGCAGCTTTCTGCACTGGCTCCCAGTCCCGATGTATTCACATACTGCAGTCGGACCTTCATCCAAGCTCTGTAAATCTTGGAGAGGTATTTGTTCGACATTGTCAACGATACCTACTACCACAAGTGGGGTCACAGCGTGGGTGGCTCAGAGCAGCTGTAGGCGCGCAGAACCTCAGGCCGGACATGCACAGCCATTGGCGACGAAGATGCCCACACTCCACAGTTGACCAGCTTAGGTTGGGGTGCAGTTTACTAGCGGAGTCTGCGACACGCTTCGGACTCCTGGCTGGAGTTTAGTTTGCGAGGAGTGGTGGCGATGATGACATTGCTGAGAGAGATGTGATGTGTTTCTCAGAGTCATAGCTTCGCTTGGGGGTGCAGTCGTTCGAAGGTTCGGCTCCTCGTCGTCGTGGCTTCATCGTTAATGTATCGTCGAAACTGTGTGGTATTATCGTCGAAGTCTTTTTGGCACTTGCTTCACAAATGGTTGCGGTAGCAGAGAAGTAGACTTAGACAGGCAACCTTATCATTCTGGCCAGTGCCACTGCCGAGGATGGCTGGACAGCGGATGGCATGCAGCGAGGTCGGAACAGTTGCATGGGCTGTGACGGCACAGCGTGTTTCGGAGGGCTTGCAATGGCTTGCAGGCGAAGCTGCAGATGCTGCAGAACAGCTTTCAACCTAGAAACCACTTCAGTCAGCGATCTTGTGAAACAGCTAGGACCTGAAACGTCAAGCTTCCAGCAGGAGATTGCCTGGCTTTCATGCATCGTCGCCGCCATGTTCCGGCGGGGATGAGCCAAGATGTTCGCCTGGGGTGGGAATAGGTAGCTGTTTCGAGTAGAAGGGAGGATCCAGAACGGACCATCGCAGTTTTGTACTTTGGTGTTTTAGCTTTGGATAGGTCCGATCTGTTAAGGCCCAAAGGCATTGGATGTGGTTTGCCGTCAGGACAGGTACCAGGTGTACGCCTTCGGGTGCAATTCCTGAAGCCTCGAGTCTTAGAGTTTTCGAGCCTCGTATGGTGCATGCTCCGGAACATGGAGGGCTGTTGCAGAGTCACCCCGGCCCGAGTCCAGCAGCAGAGCTCATGCTGTTTGTGGAGGATGCTGCCCGACAAGTTGCTCCGTATCATGGTGGTGCACAATGGCAGGCTCCGGCTGGCCTGTTTGCAGTGCATTAGAACAGAGACTTGCTGAAACATGAACGAAGGAAGGAGAGAAGGACCAGGCAAGAGCCAGCCCCAACCTGTTACATTGGTGTGCCTGAACTCTGAGCTTCCCCCATAGGCGCTTCGAGCTGCGAGGCATTTGCCAAACAGGAACCGCATCGAGTTTCGAGCCTGACAGTGGCAGTGTCAAACGTCAAGTGAGTTCCTTCACGGCTGTCCATGTTCCATGAGCGGCTGTACTCTCCTCGTTTTTTTCACCGAAAAACAGGTTGGGAGATGCCGAAGGGGCCGTGCCCCGGCCGGCAGTAGTAGTTACAGAGGCAGAGGAAGCTTTGTAGTGCTTGAACCCCTTGAGGAGGGTGTATATCAGAAAGAACTTATATATAACGGCTGCGTTGGTTGCTGCCGGTGTCATTCGGAATCCGGAATACGGGTACATGTTATTTCGTCAACGACTTCCACGAATTGCAGAATGTGGTTTCGGACACGTCTCTAGAACCCCCGGGCAGTTTTACCCCCACCCATCTGTGAGCTGGGGAGCATTACGAGCCCAGAGGCAGCAGAAGTGTTCTCAGGCCCGGAGTTTTGCTGCAGCACGATGGATCGGAGTTTCACTCCCCTAAAGGACGAGTGTGGGTTTCGTGTTTCTGGGCCAACTGTCGACTCCTGACCTCTCCGAGGTGGCATGCACCAGCAACTACGTCATGCTGTCAATTCCATGCCTCGATGCTTCATCGACGCCGCTTGCAGACATTGCCTCGCGGGTCAAGCATGCCGTGGCCTCAATGTAGGCTTCCTGGTTCTGGCGGGTTTGACAGGGCTTCGGGCCTCGGAATCCAAATCGACACACGGTCACCTATGACCGCTTGATGGCATGAGAGCAGCAAACTGTGCTCTCTCTCTCTCTCTCTCTCCTCCCTGTCTCGTGCTCTCTTCTGAAACGCAAGGCCATCACGCACGGAAAGTTCCGGCGGCCTACTACTTGTGAACAGGCGCATGCTCCTCGGCAGCAGCTCTGCCTCACTTGCTTATAAAGCTCCCGGCTCGCCGCTGGGAGTGCACTTTTGGTGGTGCACGTGGGCTGGGGCATGTCGCTAGCTTAGGCACGGATCAACATCGGAGGAATGGTGGCTGGGCAGCACGGATGAAACAGAAGGCTGCTTATGACTTCCGAACCAGGCGAGGGAATGAACGAGTCTCCCTGCGGTTTTCCGATTCATGTATGACTATCCAACTATGAAACATGCCGATCATTGCTCGTTTTGGCAGCCTTATCAGCGGGATCGGGATAACGCCCAGAAGCTGCATCCCTCGTTTGTGTTTCTGCTGCACGTACTATTCAGTGCCGATGCCGCAGTCTCATCACATGGCAGATGTGAGCACTCTTTTTGTATGTCTTCCGCGGAGGTGCTTCCACGCAGAACAAACAAGCCCCACCTCATGCAGCCGTATTAGAACGTCCTGCCAGCACCACGGACCCGCGGCAGTTGCTGTTAACATTTTTTGAGAAACAGCTGAATACCTCATGCAAATGGAGCCTTCGATGCCGTCACTCCAGATTGGGAAAGACGGCGACTTCACGCAAGTGTTCAAGTCGTCTCGATGCAGGCTCGCATTGAACTTGTGCATGGATTGACGGGTCATTCAGGTGTGCCGAGGCTTTGCTTCGGAAGTTTCACGCGGGTGCTCGGCGCTTGATCTGTAGCATGCTGGTCAAGAACTCCATCAAAGCAACTCGATTATATGGATTACGTGGATTATGTCTCAGCAGAGAAAGAGGTGTGTCTTGTACCCGGCCCGAAGCTATGCAGCAAGGCATGTTGAACTGCAAGCTCTAACGGTTTTACTTGCCTTTGAGTACGAAACCCGTCAGAATCTGTTCACAGTGCCGTTGGTTGATGTCCCATGTAGGCCGTCTCTGACAAGGCATCGAGTTTATGGCTTATGGTGTATAGAGAGGGAGAGAGAGAGAGAGAGAGAGAGAGAGAGAGAGAGAGAGAGAGAGAGAGAGAGAGAGAGAGAGAGAGAGAGAGAGAGAGAGAGAGAGAGAGCGAGAGCGAGAGCGAGAGCGAGAGCGCGAGCGCGAGAGTGAGAGTGAGAGTGAGAGTGAGAGAGGTCCAGTGATTCATGTTGGTATCGTTTTGTGTTGTTTCTGCGAAGTGGCATGTACTTGCCAGAGCCTCGGGAGCAAGAGTCCTCGGTCAGGTCTTCTGCGTGGAGTCGGGCTCCTTACGTGATCCAGCTTCGGATGGACAATGAGGGCGGCATTTGGTGCGTAACTTGTCGGAGGGAGGGGAGAGGTTCTGACATCCGGATCAAGGCTCAGGCATCACAGGCCGGGTTCTGGTGACCTCATCTGTTGATCGCAGTGCTGTACCTAGTGATCAAAGACGGGAAGAGTCTACCCCGCAACCAGTATTTCACAACGTTCCGCTTGTTGCACTCGTCGAAGCCAGGCTGGATGAATCCCTCAGAGAACAGAACTTGCCTGGCAGAAGCCGCAGTCTTCAGGTGAAGGACTTCAAGTGCCACGAGTTCGTGGATCCGACCAAATTCTGGACTGCGGTACCTGGCTTACCTGCCAGTCCTCTCTGTCTGTGCGTGTGTCTCTGTGTGTGTGTGCACGTGTTGGCCATGCCTTTTCAAAACTAGATGTAGAGCCAAGATGAGTGGCGCTTTGCCGAAGTGGTCTCAACTTTCTGTAGTCCCTGTAACATTGGATGAACTCTGATTTCTGCGAGGAGGCAAGTCTGTTTGCAGAGAGTACAGTAGTGTCTGGAGTAGAGGAGTTGCATGGTTTCACAAGGCCTCCAGAGACTTCCTCGGCATGTGTGGGTGCAGTGCGGATGGCATGAGTTCTCTACCTTCCTCGGCGTCGTAGTGCTGTTGAATTCAGGGAATCCTTCTTGTTGGACTAACGTCCTATGCGCGCACTTGTGGGTGGCACCTGGCTGCTGTAGGCAATACGACAGCTTCTGTGAAATTCTCACTTCGCCAAACCATTGCTACAGTCCTTGCCTCGCCGATCCGAGACCTCAAAACCTGTAGCCTAAACAAAGACAAAGATTTAAGATCCCCACATTAGAGGTAGTCCCCAGTTAAGGGCATTCCTTCTTGCTGCTTCGTGTTGGATGACTGAGGCAGTTTGCATTGGCAGGGAGGTCGCTGAGGGTGCTTATACGAATCCGGTTGAGCCCTTGGCCTGAGCCCGCTTCACTTAGTTTTGTCAGAGAGCATTACCCGTAAATCGGGGCGCTCTCACTTGTACAGTTGGCCGGCAGCTGTCATAGAATGATCCACATGATGACTTCCAAAGCCTGCCGGAAACATCTTTGTGCGACAGCCGGCGCTTCAAGACGGGTGCCATTCTGGCTTGTGGAGCCGGCACTAGCCCGCTCTTGGTCGTCTCCTGACCTTCAGAAACTTACTGTAAGGAGGGCATGGCCTCAGCAGCTGAGTCCTTTCCGAGCTCGTTCTTGCCTCGCGAGTGTCGCCGGGCATGGCCGCATGACGGCAGGGCAGGCTTGCTCAGCTGCTATATACAACGCTGAGTTGCCGCTATCTTTCACTAAGCCACTAAGCCAACGCACACACCTAAATACATTTTGTCGGGCTCGTGGATCGAAATACTCTACAGTCAGTCTCATTTACTTACTGTGCACATGCTCGTGCCGTTGCCATCCCCTCGGCGAGAATATTTTAGTTCTTTGACTTGAATCAAATATAGGCTTCCATGCTGCCGACAGCAGACAGTTCCGCAACTCCGTACCGGGCTCTGCTCCATATACTGCCAACTCTTCGTGGGGTTTATCAGGCGCTCGGTCCCGCTAGGTCTCATGCCACTCATGAATCATGGCAGTGTTGTTCGCCTTGCTTCGTACTAGCTACTTGTCACACTACCAGCTTCGTGCTGCCAACTTCGCGAAGCAGGCAAACTTGGAATGAGAGACATCGAGTTTCCGGCTGTGTGCCGGGTTCTGGGGCAAGAACTGGCTCGAGTTTTAGGATCCCAGCTTGCGGTCGCGAGGACCTCCGGGCTCCTGCGAGGAGTCAAAAAAGCTCTGCTTTGCTTCTGCAGCTCAGGGCCTGCCGGGCTCAAGGGCTCACTTCCCTGTTCTTTCCGGCCGGTGCTTTGGGAGTTTTCGGAAAGGAGCCCCTGGAGCGCGTGCTTGAAGAACCAGACGAGGACGAATCAGGCCATCGCCTTTCCCTGTTCATGCTCTCGGATTTGTCGGGACTTTCAGATCTACACCGGATTGATCCCTGGGTCCGCCAGCTTGGTGAGCTTCCCTTTTTGCAGGGGTTGAAGAGCCAAATGAAGGTAAGGCCACACGCGCGACTGTACGTCTACACTGTTTTGAATCTGTCTGTCGTCCCCAGACGAGGAGGTCCAGTGGGTCACCTGCAACCTCTTCCTTAACGGCCCTCGCTCCCAAGACAGGTTCCGCAGCAAGACAGAGCAATCGAATAGTCCAGCGATGCAGGATGATAGCCGTAGACCCAAGGCCACTAAGACTAAGATCTTGTGCACAGAGCGTGGATGGGTGGCCATGAGCTCCAGTATTGCTAAAACTGCAAGGCCTCCGGGTTCGACCTGCTGAAGACCTGCTAGGTTTGCCTCTTGCCTCGGCCTCCTCGCCACGGCCGAACCCTTCAATTGTGATCAGTGCGAAGCTTCATACAATCCGCCCGGAGTGACTGTGGGAGCCATGGTGCTACTCTTGCCGCGGCAGCTGCTGAGCCCCAAAGAGGACGGCATGCTCAAGCTGCTGCAGGGCATGGCCAAGGTATCTGGGGTCTGGAGGATGTGGTCCATGGATGTCCATGGCTTGCATTGGGTGGCAGATTAGGATCAGGCCACTGCGGATGGTAAGGTTGATACAGAGCATGGCAGGAAGCAATGATGGTGGTGACGCTTTCATGAGGTGATCATGTGGCCAATGCGGCTGCAGGCTGTTGATGCCATACTATAATTCACACATCCGGAAGGTATTCACTAGCTTTTGTTGTTGCGTTGATGCCGACGGCTGCCAGGTGTGGGTCACGGGCGGATGGCTCCGCGACAAAATCCTCGCGAGCCTGGATGTGAATCTCGCAGCCACCGGACTTTGTTTGGAATGCTAGGTTTCTGGCACAAAGCTGGCAGGCTGATGCACGAACTTCGCATACTGCAGTCGACTTTTTGGGTCGTCGTCCTTCGCGACCGTCGACGGTAGTGTTTCGAAAGACTGGTTGCCACCGGTGGCTCCACTAACGTGGATTCGGATTGTCCTGGAACGTTGCATCTAACCCTCCACGTCATGTGCACTTTTGTATTTCTATCGCTCCGCATCGTAGCAAAATTCTTGGTTGCATGGCACGAGCTGGGGGAGCAGCGAATTCGTTGTGAGAGTCTACTAGAAGTGGCAGCCCTCAGTTGCATCACCCTTTAAGGGGTAGTTCGCAGAATTCACGTGCGGCCGGTATCGGAGACTGATCCTGTATCAAGCGTCCGCCTAAGCTAGAGCCGGGTTGGCCTTCCCTTGCTGCTTCATGGGCAAGCTTGACCGCATCATGCCGCCGCCGGATGCTTCAGGGTACGCTGTGTGGCCAACACATCCACAGAACGACATCGCCTCGAGCATATGCCCTTTCGCAAAACCTGAGCCGCAGCGCCTGTGCCTGCAATCGCTGGGGAGCTCACGCACCGACTTGGGGCCCCACTTCTGTGGCTTTGCCATTTTTCGGAGCCGAGGCCAGGTCTCGCTGTCAACGTATCTCGGTTGCATCGGCTTAAGGTTACAGTGTCTTACAGTGTTACCATTTCCAGGAGTTTTGGACTTTCAGGGGTTGAAATTGGTAGTGTCGGAGCCTGTAACCTGTAGCATGACCTCGAGCCGACTCTTTCCGAACCCGAAAGTGCTCCAACTTCCAGGTCTCGCAAAACTCTGCGGCCAGCAGCAAGGGGACCTGGACCTCGTTGTGGCGGGCATGTGCCGGGGCGGCGAACTCCGTAGCACTGTACGCAGGGCCTTGAAAAACGCTGGGGCTGATGGGGTCTTCCATGGTCTTCCATGTGAGAAATTGAAAGAGCCGTACATGCTCCATGCAGAAGCACGAGGCGAGACGATTAACAAGAGAGGGATCGACAGAGTGACCGAAAGAGAGCCACCAGCAGACAGAGAGATAACCCTGAACTGTAAGTTTCAAGCAGACGGCAGAAATCGGAGTGCAGCTCATCACCAGCCCAATCTCAGTGTGGCTGTGTTGCTCTTGTCGGATCAAGTTGCGATTTCAATGGTTTCTGATCTTGGCACAAAGCCTGCATGCCAAATTTATGCCTTAAGGACCTCGGTCGAGTTCTACGCTGCCCGGAGGCAATCATGAGGCTTTTCGCGGCTGTAAGCACATGCCTAAACCTCGCCTGATTCGTCGAGTGCGATTTAAAGATCATCGTCACAGGGCATTTCGGTCTTGCGAATTCCTAGCATGCATGCGCAGGCATCTTTTGTCATTATAGATTATAGAGGTATATATAGTCAGGTATAGCGTAGTATCCTGTGCACGCATGTCTGCAGCGCGCCTGGGCTATCGGACATGAGAGCATGGGTTACTCTCAGGATACTTCCGAAGGACTGCATGGCGACGTGTTGCAAATGGCTGTTTTCTCCTCACATACGATGCACAGTTTGTAATTCAAGAGACATCTGCTGGAGTCGCCGCTCGAAGTGTTGGTTCATCACCCGGGCTGTCGGCAATCGTGCTATCCCCTGTGTCTAGTTATGCAGACCAGCTGGGTGTGTCCGAACATTCATGCAGATACAGGGCTCCCGTTCACTGCTTGCCTGGACCTGGACCTGAGGCAAGTTAAACGCAAGTCCTCGAGCTCTGTAACAGGTGAGATCCTACAGAACTTTGGCATCCGACAAGGATTTCGTTCAGGTCTGCATGTTACGGTCCTCTATTTTCTGAAACTCCCCGATCGTACCGGCATGTTAGCCTGCCGCTTCAGGCATTGCCCATCAAAGGAGCCCGAAAAAGACAGAGGTTCCGACCCCAACCATACTGATCATATAGGGGTTGACACTGATAATGACAATTGGTAGCATTAGCCGATTAGCCATATTGTCAGCTCAGCATGAACAAGATTAACAAGATTAGGAATACCATCCGTAATGATAGAGGATGCCGAATTTGCCATTTGCCATATCATAATACACAAGTCATATCACCTGAACCTTGCTTCGCGACTCGTTAAGCTATGCAAAAGGCAAAATCGATAATGATAGTATAAGCTCTCCCGCCCAGGGACGCTGTTCGCGTGACGAGGCATTTCGATCGCTGCTTCGGCGCCCACCCCTGTTGGTGGAAGCCAAGGATCGCAGTTTGGGCAACTTATTTGAGACCTCCACGCATCCCCAGTTGTGAGATGCCAGAGACCGAACCCTGGGAACAGCAGTTGAGGCTTGAACAAAGAAACGAAGAAATCACGCAGCAGCCAGGGAGGGCGACCCAACACGGTGAAGCTCACCCTGGCCGAGGAGGGGCGGAGGGTGGAGGGTTCAGTCGAGCCTCAAAGCTGATCAGCAGGCAGTTTTTTGCTCACCGAAGTCATGAACCACAGATGGTAGACGTGCCTGCCGAACAAAGATGAGGAGCGAGGTTTGGAAAGACCCTAAAACGTTGCAGCCACGAGCTCTGATGCCAGTCACCAACCTCACAGCTTGCCGAGGCGATTGTGGATGTCACCAGCCTTGCGGATGCGAGGCCGGTCCATTGCTGTGAGAGCAGCACAGCAGACCGGCTTCGGATCGTAGGTGGGAGTACGATGAGTCACATGTGGGCGCCTTTCCGTCCGCCTGCTCTTCGCGAAGGCCCGGCGGAGCTCAAAGTGGCCCAGCCGAAGAAGGTGCCTTCAATGTGCACTTGCTGGATATGTTGAGGTTCTCGAATGTGCAAAGGGTGGCGATTCGGGCTAAGCTTAGCTTTGAGTTTCGTTTCGTGGAAGAGCAGATTATCCCAAGCACCGCCTCGCACTTTGAGCCGAGCGAAGGTGAAGAGGACTCCATCGCGCGGGATTGTCAACACAGGGACGTGAGCTTTAACGCCCTGTACCTTGAGGCGAAGCACTGACGCCTGCTTGTGGAGCTTCGCTTTGCGGATGCTTCTGTTTTCTTTTGCGTTGCTTAATCAACTCACCCGTAACGCTCCAGATCCCCAGGCTGGCGGAGAGGAGGTGCTCGATCCCTGCGGACAGGGTGTGCAGATGCCCAAGCAAAGGGAATGAAGGGGGGCGGGGGACGGCCAGTGGCAAGTTTTGAGTGGTTGGGACATTTCTACGTAGGCAGGGCTGATCATGCAGATCTTGTTGGGACTGTTCGTTTCCATCATGGGCCGTAAAAGTCCACGGCCTAAAGTGGTCTGCAATCAATCAACGCTAGTCGAGTGGAAGCCATTGCACGGCTAGCGCATGGGTTGCCTAGCGCAGCTGGCTCTTGCTGACAAGAATGACCAACGCTGCAGGAACGTTGAAGGCTTTGGCACGTTGTCAAAAGCAGAGTATGATACATCATGTCACGACCTGTTCGGGGCCTGCTGGTGGCAGGAATCAAAGTGCCTGTTGCGTTCAACTCCCCGGCACGAGGTCAGATCTGTCTGCAGGAATCGTACGGACGCCCCATACAGGCCTAGTGATGCAGTGTTGATTGTGCGGACATGTGCTTGTTGGACATGTCTGGCGAGCGTTAGCATGGCCTTCATGTACGTTCATCTTCGTTGTTTTTTTCGAGTTCCAGAGTGGGTGCATTGATTGGTTTCGTTTCGATGAGGAAGCATCTGTCAATACACAACCCTGCACAACAAGATGCAAAAGATGAGCGGCCGGCCCGGTGCTGGCAACTGGCTATTCTTGTTTGCTTTCGTGCTTTGTTGCAAACTGGACCTTCGAAGGTGGTGCTAGGTTTGACGAGCTGGATTTCGGTTGGTGCCGTTCTTCGTGCATAGTATGTGATTTATTTCGGATATGCCAGACATTGAACCACAACTTCGATCCTTCCTGTACCCTTGGCCCCGTACTCTTTAACTCTCTTTCTCGTGCTCGGGAGGCGGTGCACTGGCTTCTTTCCGAGAAGATCCAGCCCCCCAGCTGCCAAGCACAACAAGAAAATCCCGAGGATCCGATCGAAGGTCGGGGGATGCCACGACACCCTTGACCTGAAGTCCGATTAAAGGAAGTTGAGTCAGCCTTCACACCCAAAGCCAGCTACAGTACGACTAGGTGCGGCTACTTCGCGCCTTGCGGTTCGCTGCCAGGCTTGGCTTCCAACTGGAGGTGCCCTTTGGGCTTGGGGTTGTCCGCTTCGGCTATCTTGATCCCAATGCTGCAAGAAACGCAACTTGAGGGCCGACGGCATGTCGCACGCTTCAGACGACCTGTGACAGGCTAGGCCAGTCGTTCTTCGTCGGTTCACTGTGCACACCTTCATCAAGCTACAACCACTTACTCAAGCATTTCGCCAGTTGTTGAGTGACGTCTTTTCATCGCACTCACACCGCTCGACGTTTCTTGAGGGGCCTAGCCTCTCGGAGCCCGAAGCCTGGCAATTACTGCCCAAGCCTTCTTCGAGTGCGCGAGGATGACCTTCACGAATCGCTGGCAGCCGGGGAGGAGGCCCGACGCATCTCTGCGCAAGAAGCTTTGGCAGCATGCCGGGAGCTGCAGCAGGCTTCGAGAATTTCTCGTCCAATGTCCCGTAACTAGCACGACATGGCACGAGATGGTGGATGGTGCATTGTGCAGCTGTTGTACTGCATCTGTCCAGTGCGTTCGGGTCCACGCAGATTCTGTGAGAAGATGCCGGGCATGTCTTGAAGTGATTTCGAGACAGTGACAAAGTGCGTTTCGAAAAGCCAAGTGTTGGGTCAGGTGCTGGCGGCTCGATTTGAACGTCATCCTGGTCGAATACTTTTCGAGCTCAAGAAGGCAGGATGGTAATTTTCTGGTCGCTTTCCTACAGTCTCAAAGCTGTGGCAGGCACTTCTGGTTCACAACCAGCCTAGCTCGTTCTTGCAGTTCCTGAACTCGAACTGCGAGGCGTGGTCGTCACCCAGTGTTCATGAGCACTCTCAGCAAGCAGGTGAGCAAAGGTCTCACACACCACAGGCCCCAGGACCAACGAAAGCCCACCACGAGGTACACAGGCTGCTCTTCGGGGACTTTGCCAATGCTCCAACTTTCTGGCAGGGTGCAGTGGGGAATGTCAGGCGCCAGAGTCCCAGAGAAGAGAAAAACATAAACCCAGAGCGTTTCCTAGACCTCGCCGGGGTCCGGAATTGGGCGCGGCTTCTTGCAAGCCTCCTGCGCACATGGCAGGCCGGCAAGAACGTAATCCTGTAGCCGACAGTGGAAGAGGAACTGTGAACACAACCACTATCATGAGTGTGTGCGTTGGCGTATGCCTTGAGTGCTGCTCTAACATGAGATTACCACGGTTAGAAGCAAGATCTGGCAATTGCTTGATCCTACATTATAAGATCATGCCGAAACTGGCCAGAGCTTTATATTTATTTGTCAACTCTGATGCATTATTAGAAATTAGCATCTTTACGACCACCCTATGCTCCTTGGGCTCGACGGCTGACATTTCCATGGGCACCGAGGTCTGGAGACCCTGGTCCTCGAGGGCTTGCAAAGGATGGGTTCATCAACTCCTGTGGCTTCTTTCCTAGGTAGGGCTTTGGGACATTTTATATTTTCCCTTATTGGGCTTAAGAGGATCTTATTTACTAACATTTTTCACAAGCTTTAAAAGCCCCACCTAGTTTCACTTTGCCAACTATGGGAAAAAGGGTAGAAGTGATGTTATGGGATGCTCACCAATGCCAGAAAGCAGAGCGGCCGGCCTAGCAGGAGTCAAGAACGGCAACAGGCAACACCCATGCACACAGACATGTGCAGCTGTGCACCGCCACCACCACCACCACCACCACCACCACCACCACCACCACCACCACCACTACCACCACCACCTCCAAATACGGTAGCACCTACGCTGCAGCAGCGTTTTTCAAGCAATACTAGTGGCGTGCCGGGGCAGCAGCAACAGCAGAAGTGACAGCGACACGGCACATGCTCATGTTCACAATAATCTCGAGCCCAGAGTACGCCATGTCACCGTGGTAATCACAACGTATCTTGTTGGTTTTGTCCTTTGCCTGGGATTCTGGAGGCCTGTGCAAGCAAAATCAACGGCAGCGTCCAGGTTGAAAGCAAACATTTCCCTGGCAGAGGAAGCAGCTCTCTGCGAGATCTGTGCGTTTTCGAGGTCGCATGGAGAGTCCTGGCTTCCGGTCATCGTGAATTTTGTCTGAGCGCATGGGTACAGACGAGATTTATTGATGAGGTAATGTCTTGCAATTGGTTTTGTGAAGACTCTGAGGAGCTTGATTCTCACAGAAGTCCACAATACAGTCCCTTCGTCTCACACCCGAATGTTGGGGATTCCCGGTGGCCACTCCAGGAAAGGCCTGCCACCAGCTTTGCTGACGCCGGACTGGCGAAAGCTGGAGATCAGAGACCCTCGGCATAATGTGTTTTTTGTCCTCCGTGTTGCGTGACCAGATTTTTCCAGCGATGCCTGCTGGGCATAACCGGGACTCGCACAGCGCACCGTTGGGTGAGACAGTTAACAGCAAGAATCCTGCAGGAGCAAGCCCCATTGCACCGGGCCACGAAAACGCTTGATCTTTGTCTTGGTCGGGAGATGCCTTGTGACTGTCAACTACAAGCTTTCCCTTCAACATTAGGGGGCCATCGAAAAGGCTAGCAAGCAGGTTTAAGCCGATTCCAGCCCACACCCTCGCGACCTCGGACTGCAAAGAAACGCCAATGCCGAAACACATTCCTGTGCCGAGCATTACCTTGGCACGAATGGTTGGGGTCAACGCTAAAGCCCTGAACGCCCTTATGCCTTGCGTGGAGAGTAGGGGTACAGGAAAACGACTGGGTCGAGCTGCTGCTGGCGGCGTTGCTTTGGCGCCGCAGTGTGCCGGAGGTGCGCCAGTGTGCGGCGAGGCTGCAGCTGCTTGTCTGACATTAGGGTTTCAGGTTTTGCAGACTGCGGGCTTTTGAGCTTATAGCATCTTCAGGTTCCAGGGTTTGAAGGCTTAGGGAGTGTTGGTTCAGGGGTTTTGGCATCGCTCGCCGCCAAGTCCGCTAAGCCTATGGCTTGGGAGTTTCAGAATTGGATTGGGTTTTGATTACTCATAGTGCCAGTGCGACCTGCGTTGCATCGCAGACGGGGATGATGAATCGACATTGAGGTCCTGTTGATAAATCGTTGGGCTTGGCGGCAAAGACAGGTTTGTAGCTCCAACTCGAGGGGGCGATCATTTGGAAGGACGGTTAGGGCTAGGGGATCTTCCAGACGAAATGCGAGAGTACTCGGCCTGAAAGAGGCGAAGCACTGCGGAGCTGTTTTCGGTTATGCTCTGTCAAGATGTATATAACTGACAAGACGGCATGGTAACACTTAACCAACTAAGTGACAAATTTATTTTAAGAAGCCCGCAGTAGGGCCCCGCACCCCCCCCCTTCGCAGAACCCGCTGATGCTGATGATGCGCGCGGCTTCTGCAGCCCATTCAAAAACTAGCAAAACATCGCCTCGCACTGCAGGGCCGGTTGCGGGTACCCGAGTGCAAACAGGCCTAATGAAGAACTAAGTTAGCTGATTGTAAACTAAAGCGCTGAAGAGGCGCACTAGCCATTCAGGGTTTAGGGTTTGCACAAGAGAAGGCCGATCAGCGTGGAATTGAACTAAGCGGCGGGCGCTGGGTGGTCCGGCGCGGCAAAGGGGGGTTGGGCATGCATTGGGCTTGAATCAATGACTAGGACAGCAGACACCACACACGGCTGGAGGAGAAATTGAGCACTCTCTTTGGGGGCGGTGGGCCTTTTAGGGGGGTTGGGCATGCAATGGGCTGGAAAGAATGAATACTCCTACTACTACAGCACATACTACTACTACTACTACTACTACTACTACTACTACTACTACTACTACTACTACTACTACTACTACTACTACTACTACTACTACTACTACTATTACTACTACTACTACTACTACTACTACTACTACTACTACTACTACTACTACTACTACTACTACTACTACTACTACTACTGCTTCTTACTACTATTACAGCACCAAAAAAGACTGAGTCTGGCCGGTCTGCGAGGGAAGGGAAAGATTCGGGTCTGCAGAAAGCCGCAAAGGGGGGAGAGGCTGAGCGGCGGGCACTTAGAAACGAGTTGAGCTGAGTCGAGCTGGATGAGCCGGGTGGTCATTGAGGGAACTGGTGTGCAGTGGGCATTTCAAGGGGTTGGCCATGCACGGTCTGCGAGGGTATGCGAGGGTGTCCGTGCCCGTCATAGGTTCGTACCAATGTATCTATGCCAGCCGCCAAGAACTGTTACTCTGACTCTTGCCCTTATTCTTGCTCTGAGTGCCACTGGATTCTAGATGATTCTATGAGGAACAAACGACCAACTTCGAGCCGTACAAGAGCTGTGTGGTACGCAAATCCGCATGCAATGCGCAACTTCGTCAATCTTGGGTGAGCATAGGCGGAGCTCTGGGGGCGGGGGGGGGACAAAACCGGGGAACACAGCTTCTGGGCACCGCCCCCGGAGGGGTCGGCGGATAGCCTGAGCATCAACATCCAAAACGCTCTGCAAATGCCATGCACTCGCAGGCTGTCGGAGACCATGGGCGACTTGGGCTTTTTTGTGCTTCGGGTTCACGGGCCATGGACAGGTGTGGGCTGCGGGTTTCAATAAACTTTTAGGAATCTAAGAGGAAGGGTCGCTCGGCGTGTGGCCGTATGGTTTGCACGATGGGCTGTGCTCAAGTAGCTGTGTGGGATTACAGTTGTGGAGAAGGAACACGTCGAATATAGAGTGATGCAGCATGCTGCGCAGCTTTTCTGTGTCGTATGTTCATGGTTGGAAATTTGTCCTGGTGGCCGAGGCGCATCATGGGGTGTTGGGTAGACTTGACGGGGATCACGGCTCTCACGCTCTGTCGCATTGGCTCATGTCCTGAAGCACAGACCACGTTCAAACACATCGAGACTCCGGATGTTAGCTCAGAAAGTTTCGCAGCCAGGCCTTGGGCCGACTTCTAGACAGCATATAAACCTAAAATTAGCGTAAAATTAGCGGGCCCGTGTCTTCGAGGGTCCGAGCCGGGAGTAGGGTTCAACACACCACTCCTACGGCCGCAAAGCTGCAGCTGGAAGGATGCAGGCCTGGCCACAAGTCTCTCGCAGTGGTTTTGAGTCAGAGTTGTCCGAGGCTGACTTGAAACCGCAACTGATCACAACTGCTTGGGAATGTCAATCTTTTGATGTGCTGCCCTCCCGTTTTCGATTGGCTTGAATATTGCTCGCCCCGCACGGCTGCACCTCTGTGTGGAAAGAGCAGTAGACTGGACGATCAAAGCCCGTCGGAAAGCAAATGCTCAGATCCCCATGGATTTCGGTGACTGCATCATAGAGCAGAAGCAAGAACTCCTCAGACTCCTCGCTGCTTGGCTCAGATTAGCACCAAAACGAAAACGAGGTCTGTATCGCCTGCTGAACGCGTTACTGTGTTGTCATATGTGCGACATCAGGCCACGACTAGAGTTGAATGTTGCAGGCAGAGTGATATGTGTGGTCGGCAATGCAGCAATGTTTGGTCAGTGACTTCAGTGTGTCCAGAACTCATCTCAACCTGCCAAGGAGGAGCAGCATGATGTGTTCACTGCCGCGATTGAGCAGGCTTTCCACGAGGTGCAAAGCCACCCAGGCCGGATCTGAATCGGGAATGTATAGGCTTGCGCTGCGCTTCCACCAGAGTAAGACACACGACGTAGTCTCCAGGGGGCGGGGTGGCGTCTGTCCGCAAGCCCGGGCATAGGCACAAACCGCCATCGTCGAGAATGTCGCTTTTGCCAAGCACATGTCCACCTGGATACATAAGTCAAGTGGCATGAAACGAAAAGTCCCAAGTAGTGCAGCCGGCTAAAGCTCAGCCGGGCTTTCAGCCCGTAGAACTGCTTTGTTCAATGAATTTCCTTATTTCGCACACCGCCGCCGACCAGGCGCATCATCTCCTTCGCTGAAACCCGGCATTTTCGAGGCTGGTGTTGATTTGGATCATACTGTTGGTCTGATGTTTTGCACTCGCAGTAGTTGACTACATCACCACCGGAGTAAGTGTTCTTAGGCCGATGACCACGGTCTTTACGCAAAAAGGCGCAAAGGCAGGCGCAAGAGATAATATAATGTAGCTTTGATGGAGTTCATGCTGGAGTTCATGGCCACACAAGATGTTGATCAACGTAGGTATGCACGAATCTGCACCAACTGATATGTGCGCTAGCAGGGGGCAAGGGAGCGCAGGCGGCGCAATGCCGATGAAATGGTCACTCCTCGGCCAAAGACTTTCGGGCAGCCTGTAGACATTGCAGCTTTCCTGGCTTTGGGATTAGCTGCGGGCTTTGCGCCTTGTGGGCTGGACGTGGTCAGGTCGCACCTACGGGCAAGCCAACACTGCCCGAGCCCGGGATTTGCAATCAGCCTGGTGATGGCAGTGTATGTACCTGGTGGTGCGTGTGCTGCTTTCAGGCTCTTTGTATTTGGAGGATGTCAGTGCCGTGTGCATGGTTCTAACTTTGTTCTAACTTGAGCAGTGAAATTTTCGCAGCATCCATGCAACATGGGACGCCGACTTCGTGTAGCTGCGCAGTTTTGTTGACAGGGTTGCAGCTCCCTTGTGCGAAGCACATTTTTTTTTGGGACTCCTTGAAGCCCGTGCTTGTAAGAGGATTTCACTGTAGAGTGGCTTCCGGCCACAGACATGAAGAGACACTTGGAACTTGGGGAGGCATGGTCAAGCTGCAGACAGTGCGATGGATTATGATGAACTTAGGAAACGGTGGATCCGTGCCCTTCTGCGGCCGACCCTGCTGGCATGACCGACGCAACATCTCCGTCTGTTTCTTGGAGAAATGCTGACGGTGTGAATTCTGGGCGAAAGGGTGCGGGGCAACATCGCGCCTCTACCTGCAGTGTTGGCATGCGGCATGCATTGACTCACATGCGGTTTTATCCTGTTTCTCCATGCAGTCGGAGCAATCGAAAACGCATCCTCCCAGCCTGAGCAGTGTTCCAATCTCGAAGTGCGTCCTTGATCTCGGCAAGTAGCTGCGATACGAGGCTCCGCTCGCTGTTTGACTTGAGATTTTAGAATTTAACGCGAACATCTCTCGATTGGAGCTTAAGCTTGTGCTCTTAGACATTTCCAGAAGTTGGAAACCCACAGCTGTTATGTATGGTTTCCATTATCATCTTGCGAAAACGGTGGGGTGTCTGCCCGTGAGCCCAACGCGTGGTTCCTACATCCATCAAAAGGAAGCTTCAAAGGTCCCTGCCCATGGTTGAGTCATGTGGTGGTGCTCAACTTGGAGCTCAGGGTGACGGCTGGATGAGTAAGGGTTCTGTTAGATACGCCGTTTTCGGGCCTTGGGAGGGTGAGTGCAGCTGGAATTTCAAGCTCAGAACTGATACTCACAGTATGATGGTCATGGGAGTTATGCACTTTCGAGACTTGCAAAGCGCAGCCGCGCGAGTAGTCGAATCGAGGAATCTGCTTCCGCTCTTTCGGATGATGCAGGACGCAGGGGCACAGCTGCAAGAGCGAATCTGATCGAGCTATTTGCAGCATCCGGGGTCCTAGCCATGCAAAGACCAGCAGGGTCCAGGAACCCGTCCAAACCTATGTACTGACCCATCCTCACATGAAGCAGTTCATTGAAATGCCAAGTGTTACAGCGTTGTGTAGTGCAGTGCGCGCTTCGACCGATGCACAACGCAGGAATGAATACTACGATCACCTCATCTGCAGTAAGTCCAGAGCCCTCGGCTCCACTCCCGGCGCCAGAATTGAGACTGGATTGCTCTCAGTTCAGATTTTGCGGGCGACAGGAAGCCAGAAGGAGGTGGCATTTCAGGGCGGGATTCCGAGGTCCTAAAAGCCAGGAAATCTCCGGAGCATCATTGTCAACTGTCGGTTCCTTTTAGCGGAGCATCCCCCAACTGACTTCGCTACGGATTGGAGACATGGAAGCAAGAGCAAAACAGGAACAATAATCTGGCAGTGACAGGCCAGGCGGTGGTAGAACGCACGAAGCCAGGGCTCTACAAAGAGAAATGAGTTATTTGCTCAACTTAGTTCACGTACCGCTGACAAGACTTTCTTGCAACACGTGTGGAACCCAGGAGCCAGCCGAACTGGGAGGAGCCAAAGCGCCGCACGTCCCAGAGGTCGCAGAAAAGCCACTTGGAACAGTGGTCATGACGACGTTCGTGCAGCTTCATGCGCATTTCATCCGTTTGAGATCATACAGGGGCACCTCACGTCTCCGTAATTCCGTAAGAGTCGACAGAAAAGCCATGTGCAACCGCGCAGAACGCCTGATCCACCTAGAAAGCATTAGAATCATTAGAAAGCCCTCTAGATGTGATATGGTGCAGGTATCTAATTGTGTGGTAGGATAGCCCTCATCCGAGGGAACGATTTATGAAGAGAAGAGAGACAGAGAGACAGAGAGACAGAGAGACACAGAGAGAGAGAGAGAGGGAGACAGAGAGAGAGAGAGAGAGAGAGAGAGAGAGAGAGAGAGAGAGAGAGAGAGAGAGAGAGAGAGAGAGAGAGAGAGAGGGAGGAGGGAGGGAGGGAGAGGGAGAGCGAGCGAGAGAGAGACAGAGAGAGACAGAGAGAGAGAGCGAGCGAGAGAGACAGACGGACGGACGGACAGAGGGACAAACGGACGGGACGGGCAGACGGACGGACGGACAGACAGACGGAGACAGACGGACAGAGGGACAACACGTGTGCTTGTGTGCCGTGTGCGGCATTCATAGGCACGGATCGACCGAGAGCTATGTAAGATGACGAAGCTTGCAATATGATGCGGGTTCAAGGCGAGGTTACGTGGCCGTCAGTTTGAGGCTTTGAGAGTTCACAAGCTGCTTGCATCTTGAAATGCCTGGGACTTTGGTGTTGGGGACTGTACCAAGGCTGGAAGTCGAAAGTGCCCACCATGAACCTACTACTGGCAGAGTCAAGAAACCGAGAGCAGTGGGATGCCATGATGCAGCAGGCCTGGCGTGCAGTTCCTGTAGTGGCAAGACTGGTAGGAATCTCCGGGCGAACGCAGGTAGTAGGCCGCCAACGTCTGGCTTTGACACTGCTTACTCGTTTGGCCAGTGGTGCAGTGCTTCATGGTTTGCCATTGACGCAGGACAGTAGCCACCACTATGCACTACTGAGCACTACTGCTTTGCCTGTCGATCAGTCACCGTTCTCCTGCGGTCTTGACGCTTTGGATGCATAGGACCAGAGCCAGCTCTTTGAACTCGGTCGGTAGGTCCAGAAGTACATCGACTACGTCGCGGGTTTCCTTGTCCTGGTAAACTCCTTCGTGTTTCCATGCAGCAATGGAGATGCAGGGGCGCGAACACTTCCGACTAACGTTGGCCCTTTTTGCATCCCCTCACCTGCTCGGATGCCACAGAAAGTGCAGAGGAAGGAAGCACGCACTCTTTGGACCCCCTGGCTTGGATCAGCACAAACACATTGACACTGTGTGTTGGTAATTGCATGCCGTTAGGCTGATTAAAAGATCCTACTAATCCCTCAACCGTTCCATGGTTGGGGATTCCGAGTTAACCAGACAGGAACGGAACCAGAAAAAACAAACGGCATCGGAGGCATGGTGCGACTTTTCAGCTAGTCATGTCAATGTGTTCGACTATGATTCTGACATACTGGTAGTTAAACATTCTTCCACTTACTTTTCCGACCTAGGACAGCTGCAACATATAGTTCGCTCGTCAGTACTATGACAGCATGAACCCGACACCTTCGTCTTAGACCAAGCACATGGCACATAAGCAGGGTATCTACCATCAGGCCCTAGCAGCCTCACCCAGCGCCCTGCGTGACGTATGCCGAAAGCACATCTTCACCGGGGCCTATCAAAATGCAAGGCCTGAATTTGCCTAAACCCGAAAAGAACCCAGAACAGCCCAGGCTGATGTTGCAGCTCGAGCTTGAGGGCAGGGCTGCCGCCGAGTCTTTGGGCCTCCCCGAGGCGCAACATGTGCCACAACTCCGGAAGTTTGAAGTACTCCATTCTGTTATATTATATTATATGTATGTATATGGGTAGATCGACAAATAGTTCGGTAGATAGATAAACATCCGCACACGTGCAAATATACACAGACTTGTATACATAGATGGATATGTTTCTGTCTCTTTGTGTGTGCTACTACTGCTACTACTACTACTACGACTACTACTACGACTACTACTACTACTACTACTACTACTACTACTACTACTACTGCTACTACGACTCCTGCTGCTGCTACTACTACTACTACTACTACTACTACGATCATGCAACGACCACAACTACGACTATGCCATGCCTGCGACGACGACGACGGCTACTACTGCCACTTCCGTTGCCGCTGCCACGGCCATTGCCACTGCTACTGCTAGTGGTGGTGCTGCTGCTGCTGCTGCTTCTAATGACTACTACCTAATACTTACCGCTTACTACTTCTTACACTGCTGATCGTAAGCGTTATGGGCACAAGAATTGAGAAGTCTTCCAGAGCTCGATCGTGCTGGTTGGCTGGCCCAGGCATGCCCATGCCCCTTACTGGGTTCAGGGTCGCAGGTTGCAAAAAAGTCAGTCCTGAGGAGTTTTGTGTGTTTGGGGTGATCAAGTGACTCAGGTAATGCTCAGGCCATGCTGCCCCAGGCATACTCCAGATCTTTCACTAAAGATGATTTTCCTTGGCCTTTGCTCTGCAACTGATAGAGCAGTACAGTATACGCACATCCCTCAACGCCGAAAGCCCTTCTCAACACTGAACAATCGTGAAGATCTCCTGCTGGGGTTTTCGGCCTCAGGGACAGCGTTTCGATGATATCCTTCCGGCCTTCCGAACAGTGGACACAGCACCTCACTTGCTGGAAGCAGATTTGCGAGGTTTGAGCAGTCAGAGAAGGAATCTGTATTTGGGGAAGGACCCCTAGGTATAGAACCTTAATATAGCTATTATATACCCATTATATGGTCCATTATAGGGTAGGGGTCCCCATTAAGGGTCCCTCTTTTTACGCCTGGAAGGAGCGGGTTGTTGCAGCACTGAAGCTTTAGCGGTTTAGGTTTGGCAGCTCGCAAAAAACTTATAGGTGTGTCTAGGGCTTCAAACTGCAAACAGGTACCGACGCAGCTAGACAGGTTGTTTGCCCGCAGGTGCTGCTGAACCTTTCTGTAACCCTAGACAAACTGGTTTTTTCTTGTAGTTGGATGGACATGTGTGTGCCGAGCACACGGAGGTCGCATGTATGGGCGGGCTAGTTATCTCGTAAGGTCTATGAGGGAAGCAGGCTGCAGCTCGGGCCGTTACGCCATAGCACTTCTGGGAAGCACCTGAGTCAACAAGTCCAGAGGCGCCTCAGAGCCTGAGACGGGCCGAGGCTTTCGTTTTTATCTTCACGCTGGAGCTTCTCTTGCGTGTGGCAGTGCCTTTGCTTCTCTGTTCGTTCTCTTGTAAAGCTTTCCAAGTGTCTGGGTCTTGCGAAGTTTGCTGCCATCATAGCCCGTGACAGACAGAGCGAATTTCGCGCACGTCAGAACTTCTGGGTCTACTTCCAGGGCGGAACATGAAGGGGCACGGCGCCAACTGCAAGCCTTCAGCTTCAGTGGAGCTGTGCCAGGTGGAGAGGACGAAGGTCTTCCATGACCTGGCCAACTGGCTGGACATCGTTTTGGTTGCAGGCATCTTCTCATGCTGTCCCTTCTCGCACTGATGCTCTGTCGTGGCTCCGGCACAAGATCTATGTCGACTGTCCTTTACTGAGTTGGCATTGACAGAGTCGCCTTAAACTGAACCGAGTATCCCGAGTCACCTGAGGCCTCGAATCGCTTGAAGAGAAATTGTGCTTCCAAAGAACGTTGTCAGATCGGATTTCTGAAGCTTTGCGGCGCCTTATCTTAGGGTCCACAGAATGAAGTTGAAGGATCCTAGTATTTAGGTTCCATCTGATGGTCCTGCCGTTTCTCACATTCCCCTGTTGAGATCCTGCATATCATCGTACCGGCCTTGTTCCTGAAGGTGGCTTGGTGGATATTTTTCTGAGCCCGCCGTGGAACAATGCCAGCCAACAGGAGTCGTCGGTATTTGGGTTTTGACTTCGATACAACATGGAGTGTGTCGAGGTTCCGGCAATGCAGCAGCAGGAGCAGCAGTAGCCGCCGACGTGGTAGAAGTAGAAGTAGTACCAGGAGCAGTCGCAGTGGCCGCAGTGTAGTGGTAGTAGTCCTTGTAGTCCCATTGTCGCAAAGTTGTCTCGGGACGAAGCGACGGCAGTGGCGATTGGAGAGATTTGAGTGTGACTTGCTAGCCATCGAAGCTTCCAGGTGGCAATGTTCGTGAAGAAGAGAGCAAAAACTGAGTGATGTAGCACAACGGCTTTCAAACCGTAAGTTTCTGGAAACCCAAGTGTTCCATGAGCTTCGAGGCGCCCAGAACATCTCCTTTGCTCGTATCTGAAGCATGGAGGAGTCTATGTGTTTCTAGATGTCTGCAATGGCTGTAAGACTTTAAGTGGCGCTGGCAGTGAGTATTCCCATCCATCAGTCCGGCATGCAAAAACTTTATCACGATGGTTGCTGGTGTCTCAACAACAGCACCCACTCGCTGCTGTACTCTTTTGGTGATGTATTATGCTGCAACATGCCAGCGCTACTCAACAAGCCGTACTACTAGTAGTAGTAGTAGTAGTAGTAGTAGTAGTAGTAGTAGTAGTAGTAGTAGTAGTAGTAGTAGTAGTAGTAGTAGTAGTGGTAGTGGTAGTGGTAGTGGTAGTGGTAGTGGTTGTGGTTGTGGTTGTGGTTGTGGTTGTGGTTGTGGTTGTGGTTGTGGTGGTGGTAGTAGTAGTACTACCACCACCACCACCACCACGACTGCTACTACTACTCCTACTCCTACTCCTACTCCTTGTACTACTACTACTACTACTGCTACTACTACTACTACTGCTGCTGCTGCTACTACTACTACTACTACTACTACTAGTACTGAGTGCTACTGAGTGCTACTGCCACCGCTACCGCTACCAGTAGCGCTACCGCTAACGCTACCGCTACCACTATCGCCACTGCTGCCGCCCAGACTACATTTTGACGTCTGAACTTTCATGTGTCGGCATATAATACCGACACGTGCACAAAAGCCATTGTCTCTTGGTTTTGTGTCTCCCAATCCTCCGACCACAAGCACACATACGTACCTTTCCTCCGGTGCAGGATGCCGTGACGTTGCGCTTTGTGACAGCTCTAAAGGTCGGCCTGGCTAAGTTATTCACCATCAGGCATTCGGTTGTGGTGTAGAGATTTGTGACTGGATCCGGCCGGCCGATAGACGAACCTGAGCTCAAAGAGGTTCGCCGCCACAGTATACTCGACGTTTCTGGCTGTCGCAACCACCCGATAGGCTTCAGAATCATCCTATGTTTCCAATGCAGGCCTTCAGGGCCATCCGCATGGTGCGGTCCTTTCGATTCTTCCGCGGCTTGCGGATGCTCGTCAAGGCATGGTTGCCCATGTGGCGTTGTGAGACAGCCGTTTCGGCAAGTTTGGAAACGAACCGATGATTGCAGCTTGGAGAGCCAATGTCAGAACCTGTTTGTTTAGTTTTGCTGTTCTGCTCTCCAGCTGAACCCCCCGCCGCCCGCAACCACCAAAAAGCGGCAACAGCAAACAAAAAAAGCAATCTTACCTGGTAGCTGCTGCGAGCAAAAAAACACCTGCCCGCAGCAATAGCGAAAAAAAACCACCGGCAACAGCAAAAAACAAGAACACACACACACACACACACACACAGACAGCCACCCACAGCAACACCAAAAAAGCAACAACAGCAACAACAACACACTCCTGCTTGTACCGGCCAAAGTGCACTCCATTGCATCATCTGTGTTGGCACGTTTGCTTTGAAACCGCTGTTGCATCACTGTAATTGCTGCAATTGCGTTTGTGATATCTGCTATGACTAATCTTTGTCGTGGCTTCTGTGCAGCGACGGTGCACTCGACGGTGCACATGCATATGTTTCCTTGGACGGCCCCCTGCTTGATTTCTTAACAAATTGATCCGTGTAACGCGGGCTTTAGTCAGACGTGGATGACAAACGCAACAATCCATTGCTCGAGACTGCTTGAGGTTTGGGCCTTCCTACTCTACAGTTGCCAAAATGCGTGCCTTTCCAGTACTAGCCTGTCACGTCTTTGCCTTCACTATCCTTCGCTCGTTCTGCTGTGGGAGTTTCTTCTGACACGCTCCTAGCTTTATAGGGTCAGTGAATCGTGTGGAACGCAAATCGGATGTGAAAGAAAAGACGTGCGGAAATAGTGCAATGAGTGACACTCGCAGCAAGAGCACCAGCATCCATAGCGTTCCAACAGTGAAGATGCAGGCGTTGTTTTCGAAACTGCTGCAATTGCAGGCTTCGTTTAGATGTTTAGTTCCATGCAACGAGAGAGGGGGCCAAGAGTGCGGCGAAGCAAAGCGGCAGTGTTCTTGCAAAGCAGATGTCCCACAATAAGTTCTCGGCGATGATCTACCCGACCCCATCGGAGATGGGTAGCAACCTGTACGACTGTACGATACTTGAGAGGTCAGCGTTATCATTCAGTCCTTGCCGAGATTATTGCTACTCGTATGTGCCCTCACACGTAAGCTTCCGTCCACAATCCGAATTATAAACATGAGCTGACGGACTCAGAACATCCTAGCCCCCATCAATCAACACAGTCATCACAGAGCCGGCTAAGCTCAGATTTTGCCGGGGCGGAGGGTGGTGGCAGAAGAGATGCTCAGAGCGCTAGTTGCGTTGTAGTCTCGTCCGAAGGCCTGCCAGTGCTGCCTGCCCTCGCTCTGCTGGTCCATGGCACCATAGCTTGCACAGATCTGCCGTTATATGTTGATGTTAATGCGTGTATCGCGACCAGTACTATTTCTACAACATGTCGTAGTCGTTAGTGATATTGCTGCCGTGAGTAACAGTTCATGTCCCCGCGCTCTGCTGCTGCTGCTGCTGCTGCTGCTGCTGCCTTTGCTGTAGCTGCAGCTATAGCCCTGCTGCAATTGCTAATGGTGGTGTTGCTTTAGTATCTCGTAAAGTAGTAGCAGTAGTAGTAGTAGTAGTAGTAGTAGTAGTAGTAGTAGTAGTGATGTTGCTGGTGTTGCTTTCGCTGTTGTTGTTGGTATTGCAATTTCACTAGTTAAATCTTGTTTGCCAAGTGGGAGCCAAAAAAAATATTGTTCTCGTTCCTGCTGTTGCATATTATTGTCGTTCTGGGTGTTTGTTGTTGTCAATACTGCTGCCGTTGTTTTCGTCATCGTTGTTATGGTGTACCTGAGCCAGAGGGACGCTTGCTGTCCTGTGTGGAGTCAGAGGAAAGTGTCATAGTGACAAAACCGCGTTGGGCTTTAGCGTCTGATTGTTGAGAGATGGTGATAGCAGCTCAGGTGCTCCTGGCTGTCTTCATGTGTATGGGTGCCCTAATCTTGGGAAACTTGCTGCAGGCGACTTGGGCCCGGAGTCGGCGCATTGCCACTATCACTGTAGGTATATGACGCTGTTCTGTCGCTCCGTTTTTCGACACGTTTGCAAGTTGCCGAAGTGCTTATACGGAGCGTCATAAAGCGTGGAACCGGGTTGTGCAATCGCAGCATTTCGGGATACGACCAATCGGCTCATGTTCGTGATAATGATCTCAGCCGCCACATGTCTTTAACTTGTGCTTTGGCACCTGCAGCGTGCGGGCTGGCAGTTTGGAATACGTAGGGAGGATTGCATGACTTTAGAAAAAGCTGTGCCACCGATCTTTGTGCTCACAGCTGAGGATTTTATCAAGGACGAAACCCAGAGCCTCGAGGATAGAATATGGGTGTGGACTCATTATGGCACTGCGTACAGAGCTACATACACCTTGCAGCTTGGTTGCGTACACAACGTTCTCGTCAGCTTTGCAAGGTTCTCAATCTCAAGACAAGAGAGGCTCCCCATGTATTCATCAATTCGTGCTCTGAAGGTACGAAGTCACTTTCGCAGGGATTCTGAGCCGTGCAGAGCAACCTTTTGGTTTAGGTCGGTGATTATTTTTTGACAGTGCGGTGCCGTAAACACACTTCTTAGCTTGCTCGATTCAGCGTCTGGCTGTGGACCGAGGAACTGGCCCACAAATGCACGTCCAGTGCTGGAGAGGGTCAGCCACGCCTTCGTGATATTCTACCTGCTCTACATCACAATTATAGTCTTCGCCGTAATCCGTGTAATATCCGCCATATTCTTGAAGGATACGTTAGACGAGGCACACAACGATGCACAGCATCTTGTTCTGGATCGGATCCGGAAAAAAGCCGAGTACGTCGAGCGCCTGGAGGGCGTGTTCAAGACACTCGATGTTACTGGCCGTGGCACCCTCTCCGAGCAGGTCCTGAACCACATGCTCGCGAATCCGAAGGTGAAAGCCTACTTTCAGACTCTTGAGGTAGACGTGCAAGAAGGGACGGCTCTTTTTCACCTCCTTGACAACGGAGACTTAGCGATTCAGTTCATGAGCTTTAAACTTCTTGCGCCAAGAGAACACCCTTCACATCCGACTGTCGATACTTTCGTGGCCTGTGAAGTCTCCGGCCAAGGAGATGGTGAAGTTACGCTCGACGAGTTTATCGCATCTTGGAAGCACTGCGACGTGCGACACAGGTTTTTGAAATCAGTGTTTGCATGAATGTTTTGAGTCGTGGGATCGCTTTTGACCGAGGATGGAATTATGCGGTGCAAAGGCCCCGCTCGTGCCATCGACACGGTCGCCCTGCAGTCTGATGTGAAGCAGTTAGACAACAAGGTGCAGCTTTGGCGCCGAGTTTCTAGAATCTGGGTTCCTTACTATAGTTAGAGTATAACATACCCCAAAAGCCTGTTCGATTTATTGATCCCCGGCTTTGCACAGCGGACCTGAAACCAGGACCAGGGCACCAGAAGCAACCCAACGAACACAGTGCCTTCTGAATTGTGTACTTGTAAACGCTTCCCATGTGGAGCTGGAGCTTTTCCGGTTGAACGCCAACATGTAAGGCTTGGGTGCTAGCCGAGACGTGTTCAAATTCGACTGCAGAGTAACGCGCACACACACACACACATACACACACATACACAGCATCGCCTGTGAACCATGTCTCGGCTCTAGACTCGTTCGGCAGTTCGGGCGATGGCAGGGAATTGAGAGCTCGTCCGCATGCCATCGTGATGAGCTGGCGCCGAAAACATAGCTTAGGCTCCAGAGCCCAGTGCAACAGCCCACGCTTCAGGTGACGAAGCTCATCAGGCAGATGAAGGATTCCAAGCTCATCCGATCGAAGTCACAGGCCGAAGGCTCGAAGAACCGCGCCAACCTCAAGGTCTTCCGCATCGATCAGTCCGAGGCTGGACTTGCGGGCCTGGGGAACTAGTATACTAGTCTTAGTATTATCTCATTGTTTCCATGTAGGCTTGCTGTGTTTAGAGCTTCAGGGCGTGAGGAGGAAAGCAGGCTATTCACATGCGCTTGTCACCTGCTTCGGGCCGATCCGACAAGGTGAGTCCCTGAAACATGCACGACATCAGGTAGTAGCCTTGCACGCTGAAAAGCTACTTCATGTAACCGTCGGGATGTCGCAGAGGTCAAGTTTGCACCGGCCGCCAACAATTCGTGACGGAGCGGCATGTGTGGCTATGCTGCCGAGCTCATGCTGCAAGTCGTTTGGACGCGAACATCACGTTGGGGGAAAGAACTTCGAAGAAGTTGCAGACTCTCAACTGGACACTACCGTACCCGTACCCTGTTTGGCACGTGTTGATTTTCACCCTGGTGTGAATCCAACTCCCTGCAGCATGCTCGCGCATAATTCCTGCAGATTCTCAAGTTATTGTTGGATGTTCAGACGGAAGCACATACGGTATCGTCATCGGGTGCAGCTGCAGGGATTCGACGAACTTCGATGAAGCTTGTTGTAAGCCCATGCGTCGCGAAGGCGGTCATGGAGTGCAAATTTTGAGTTGAGGCTTTGTGCGAGGCTTGGCCAGGCCTCACAGGTCGGAGTTGATAGTAATCTCCGATTCGTTTTCCTAACCATCACTCCCCACATGCAGGAAGGAAATGTTCGGTGGAGTGAGGCGATAGCTACGGGCGTTGCTGAACAATCACATCTGTCTTCCTGCACGCACGTATGACTTACAGAATGACATGTGCGCGCACACATGCACAGGGTTCTGTCTGGACTATGTTTGTAGTATGGAGATGTGAACTAGAGCACATATTCCAAGCCGAATCGACTAAAGCACTGGGTGGATCTGCAACAGGCCTGGTAGGCGCCGCCCTCCCTCTCAAACTAGAAAATGAACACTTTGGCTTTCAAGAAGGCGTTCAAGCAGGAGGTAGTCTAGCACCACTGCTAGTTGCAAAGTCAATGCGCTGAGATCACCAAATGGATGATACCTCTAGCTAGCTAGTCTCGCCATAAACATGAACTGGTCCTCAACTCCTGGTTGTGGTTGTTGGAGTGGCAATATGAACCTGTCCATGCACCTCTTTCGCAGCAGTTCTGTGTGACTCGGAAGTGAACCGCGTCGGTGATGTCTTTGTCTGGTTGTTTTTAAGGTTTAGCTGCAGAGAGACTTGTCTGGAAGAGCGTGCGTCTCGTCGAAAGGATTCTACATCCTTCTTTCTCTCAGCCTCCCCTCCTGGTGTCTGAGAAACCGACGTCTGCCTCGTAAAGTTGAAGCACATGTCAGGTTCCTTCCCCTCCACTCTACCATGTGTGTGTGTGTGCTCTTGCGTTCTTTTCTGGCTAAGTGCTCTTACTTTGAACTCGTCGTCGATTGTGCTCGTGGTATGTCCCCATCGTTTCACTACATTTTTCCTGCCCCCAGCTTGTCCTGCCCGAGACTTCGAACCTGCATCATAAACTGCTTGATGACAGCTGCAGCTGGCTTAGAGTTACGCCCCATGAGGTATAGACTCGCCAGGGACATGTGGAAGTCGCTCAGAGCAACAGTGTGACAATGTAGCAGTCCAGTCGGCATAGCCTGGGCATATCAAGCACCTTCTCCAGTGGTACCATGGCAGCAGACGCCGAGCAGCCAGTAAAGGTGGACGAGCCCACAAAGGACTTCCACCGACTGGCTTTAACCTTCACAACATGGAAACCTGCAGCCCAGACCTCAAAGCTTCAGCTCGAAATGCGACGCCATGGAATGCCAAAGTATGAAGCCTAAGTCCGTAGAACGTCTGCCCTCAACCAGGAACCTGAACACATGCAGGATCCTAGAACCGTAAACACTTCCACCATATGCTCGACAGAATCACTGACGGAAAGTTCCGGTCGCTTGGGGGATTGTTGTCTCGTGGCCGAGCACGCAGCCCAATCCTGCCCTCGAGAACAGCTGAAACTCGACTGCTGCAATACAAGGAGCTCATCAAAGCCTTTGGCCAGCAGCAGCGTCAGTTGCAGACGCTTGGAGTCGAAGTGTCGATCTGGCTTCTCAAGCCTCGTAGCTATGCCAGCGGTAGTAAAGAGCTTGCAGAGCAGAAAGGCAGCTTGTTAGCCTCCCTGTGGCACAGGCACGCATCGAACGATTTGCCCAAATCCGACGATCATGTATCGTATACGATTGCAGAAAGAGAGAGAGAGAGAGAGAGAGAGAGAGAGAGAGATACGGATTTGTGCACGTTGCTGGGTTTGCATTCATTTTGCTGTCCTTGTATGTTCAAGCATTCAACAATATTCAAAACTTGGAGGAGGCCTCATTTTGTGTGGACCTTTCCTCATAGCATTTGAGGAGTTTAAGTTTGGACATCAAAACAGTGTAGATTGGCATGCAGGGAAGACCGAAAGCCCTTCCACCCTCCTGACCGCAGAGGAACCCAGAACATCTCTTCAGCCAGGAAGCTCGCAGATCAACAGCGTGCAGCCTGGGATGTGGCCCTGCTCAATTCCTTCGCAGCTCTCGAAACTCGGCTCCGGCATAGGCCATAGGGGCACTGTTCGCCGTCTGTCGCTGATAACTTGCTGCACGAACTGAATTCTGCGCGTCTCTTCCGCGACTGTATGCCTGTGCAGATCGCGATTGATTGAACGAAGAGTGCCCACACATGTGGCGGTTTTTGTGCAGCTCACTGTTCTGAGCTTACTTCCCAGATCCCGAACCGAACTTCAGATAGTGACCGTCGAGACTGTTGTAGCCTCTTGACGTCTTTACGCTTCCGCCCTTGGTCTGGAGGCGACCTAAAAGCCAACTCTTCTTGTGCTTGAAGTGCCAGTCGCATGTTGCAGCAGCTTCAGAAAATGAAGGAGTCTGATAGGATCTCTCCTGAGAGGACCCTTGGAAGGGTACCCCGAGATTTTAAAGAACCCCCCTCATCTTATGGCACCACTTTGCCTTCGTGGAGTCTTGGGGCAAAGCTCGGGTGCCTCCAGTTCGAAGTCGACAGTGGCCTCCCATAGAACAACAGAAATTGTTTCCACTTCCAGTTCCCATTGCAGCTGGGCGAGATAACGAATACAGGAACAGAAGCAATGCTCGTCATGCCTAGCCGCCCTTGGACACGTGGTCTCCTCGAATCCAGGGTTACGCTGCAGCTTGTTTGCTGGGTACCTAGCCGTGTGGTCTTCTGGCTTCGAGGAACGGAAGTTAAGGGAATGGCGGCATCGGCTTCCGTTGATTTGGGTTTTGGCTGGAGGTTCTTGTTGGGCCCCTCTGGAAGCTGTGCCTACGCTAGCTCAAACCCACGTCTGCCAAAGCATGCATGTCGCCGCTGAGACAGTTGTTGCAACTTCTTCCAGTTGGCACTGTTGTGGCCGTGTGGCCGCCGTGTAATCTCTCTCAAGCAATGCCACACTGTTGTGATCACCCCTCCCACGAACTCTCTGTAGTCTGTGGTAGCTCCGCGGCGAGCAGTGGCTAAGGAAGAGAGTGTGCTTCGTGCCTGTCGCGTGATTCTCAGATGGCGAGTCGTGTCCAGTGGGACCATTCGTTGCAACCGTGCTGTTGTTGACTGCAACCTTCCGGGTCATACCATCGGACGGGTAAGCGAGGGTCCCTCGTGTACTAAATTCTCGGTGAAGAGCAGCTGAGATCGCGAAACGAACAAAGCCGACACCAAACTCAAGTATGCTCAATTTGTTTAGAGGGATCCAGACGGATAGAGGGCCCGGCTGAATTTGTGAGCTCTAGCAGCAAGCTTTCGGTAAAGTCGTCGACCTGTGAGGTGAAAGACTGGCAGCAGAGGCCATTACTGGTGTCAGCACACAGGATGTGACGAGCTGGCAAGTGAGGTCTTACATTTCGATTCATAGCGGTGTGGTTGTGTTACGTTTCTGATTTGAGCGACTTGGACCTCGGACCTGCCATGCCAGAGTAGCAGTGCTCGCAGCTTCTTCTCAGACGATCAATTCCGCAGCAGATCCGGGCGGTTTACGGTAGCTTACACACAAGCTCAGATTCGCTCCGTCGAGGGCGGAGGGTAGTTTTCCTGTGTGTGCGAGCCAGGCTCTGCAGCAAGCCATAGGCGCAATAGGCAACACTGAGTGCCAAATTCAGTATGGCCACTAACACGAATCAGTGCCAGTGTTATGCTGACAGAATCCAAGGCATAGTGTCGCAAAGATCTTTTCTTGCAAAGGCCAAAGCAGCGACTGCATCGCGCCTGAGTGCCTGAGGTGTTTCCAACCGGGGATGATGAGTTTCCGCGTCAGATGTCGGACGCTTCAGAAGGCTCTGTGACCCTTGACGGCGATTCTCAGAATGCCCTGCACCCGTATACCTTCACCGTTTTATGGGAGGCTTGCAAGAGCCCAAAACTTGACTTTGGATGTTGGGGCTTGGTGGCTCCACTCGTGCGGATGTCGTGGCCTCGCAATGTGTTCCGGAGCGTGGGGCTGCGGTACAAGGCTAGTGTCAGGAGCAATGTCAGATGTCTTTTCGAGTATATGCGGAGTTCAGGACTGTTCCGCGCTTTCCTACTTCGCTGTGGGAGTAAATCGAATCTAAAACTGTCTAACCAGGATGCATGGGTGGCACCAGACTACTTCTTGCTCCCTCAGTACCTATTTTTTGCCCATGTCGGGGTTTTCGGCGGAAGCCGAAGCCTACGGAGCTCCTCCGCCCGAGGGAGCGTTTCAAACCAGCCTTTAAAACGTACCAGTGTGTTGACACCGTGTATGCTTTGCTGTGATGCTCCATGTTTGGTTACAAGGTCGAAGTTTGCCTTGGCACTAACATTGACAGGTACATGCAGGATCATTTGTCTGCCACCCAATTTACGTGTGTCGCTTTTTTTTCGGCAGCGGAGCAGAACAGACGAATAATTGGAGTGATAATGGATGATGGCGATACGACGATTCTGCAGCTACTTGTCAGGATAATTGATATTGATATTGTTAGCTAATGGCCGCGAAAGTGAAGGCAGAGGTGTGTGCCTGGCATATGTCGGCATTGCCTGCGGCTTGAAGGGCGGCTTGCTGATTTTCGCTTTCATGAGGGGCCTGAAGGGCTTTAGCCTGATGCGTTGCCTGGCGCTGCTAAACCCTCTGGATGAGAGAGAGAGAGAGAGAGAGAGAGAGAGATCTAAGAGTACTATGTAGTATCTTCTAGTATCACTACTGCACAAACTATAGTAACAACAATGCGACTAGCAACGACAATAGCAGTAGAG